GTTGTGTTTTCTGAAATGCATTAGGCAAATTAATCATTTAACTGATTCTTAACCAAGGAAAAGATTTCAATCCACTTCCTTTATTTTTTTGTTAAATGTCTTTCTTTTGCCTTCCACATAGGCCCTGTGTACCAGTACAGGCCCTGGTACTGCTACCTGCCAGTGTAACAAGGGCTGGACTGGGGATGGAAAAGCCTGTGTGGCTATAAACAACTGTGAGCTGGAAACAAGAGGGGGCTGTCATGTCAACGCAGACTGCATTTATGTTGGGCCTGGACAGGTATATTCAGTATTAACTGATCCATTCTAAGCTGGTCTGTAGCAGTCTGAAATTTCTTGGAAAAACAATTCTTATTGTCCAGGTATATAAGGCCCCCTTGATTTATATTTATGAAATAAAGTGGCTTCTGTTTAATCAGAAAAGCATATCCTTGTATGATGAGGTTCAGTAAATTCTCTCTATATTAAATAGCTATGGTTTAAAATACTCTCCATATGTACCTCTTTAGCCAACCTTTCCTACTCATTGCAGTGTCTGACCAAATGCATCATAAACTACGGTTTATTGTAATAACTGGGCATGGGCCACTGTCAGGAGCAGGACTTCATGAGCTTTTGGTTTGACCTCTTGTGGGAACCTTCTGGCTTCCAGCAGCTTGTATATGAAAGCAGGTCTGGGGAGTGTTGAAATAGAAAATCAATACATCAGATATCCCCAACAGTTAAATTTACTGTCTGTCAGTTCCATTGGGACACTTTCTAATATCTACAGCCTTCTTCAAGGAATGTGGGTACAGAATTTGACCTGTTTTCCTCATCTGTTTACAAAATGCATGTTAAAATCCCTTAATTAAAAATGCAAGTCAGCAAATTAGTATTCCTGAGTGTCTCTTCAATAACAAAGTAATGTGAGCAGTCACGTAGTTATGAGCCACACTTTAGGGGCACAGACCTTAGTAGATGGAACCATTTTGGTAAAGAATCACTGAAAAGAAAATTATCTTAAAAATTATCTTAAAATGAGACTTTACCACAGACTCACAGGAATGGAAGGTAACTCTGATAGATCTGAAAGTTGAAATTCCTATCTTTCTGTGTCTCTCTCTCCTATTTTCAGAGCAACTGTATCTGCAAAAGGGGCTATTTTGGTGATGGGTATAACTGTGATCCTATTGACCCTTGTCTGCTGGATAATGGTGGCTGCAGTAATTTGGTGAGTAGCTAGAGAAATCTCCAAAATCTTTGATGGGAAAGAGCAATGGCTTAGGGTCTTTAGCAGATGTGTTTCAGGTTATCTTTAATGAAGCTGTGTCACTTGACACTGACTGAGGATCATTGTTTCTTTCTTCATTGTACAATGTAACTTAATCACATTTGCATGTAGCCAAACCTAAAGTTGTTATGGCTTTTTGTTTGTCCAGTTTATTAACGTTCCCACATTTCACAAGGTGGTGTAGGGGTAGGTTGTGTGGCAGCTTTTCCTTGCTCTTTTATCTAGAGTGAAAATCTATAACTTAGGCAATAAACAGCCATTGTATTTGTCTCAGGATAAACAGTTCTAGTAAAATTGTTCAAATGCCCATGTCCATTGTCCTGATATAAATCCAAAAAAAATGGTTCACAGGATAAGAAATACTAACAAGATATTCCAGGTGTGGGTGGTTCAGGGGCTGGTGCAAGCTAAAGGTTTCTCTGACCCGGCTTGACCCAGAAATGATCCCCACCTGTGTTTTCTCATCTGCCATGACTTGTTGTTAAAATTTATTAATATAGCAGGAGGCGATTCAGTTTTCAATATATTACTACTGAAACAGTTTGGTAGCTGGTCAAGGCACCATCCCCTTTAAGAGGAATGGTTGAGATTACAGTCTAAGTTCACTCGGCATCCAAGACAGTAAGACGGGGTAGCCCCAAGTTCAGGTGTTTTCTCAATTGAAGAAAAACACTTTTTTTTTATTGTTACTATCAATGAGCAAACACCTCTGCATCACTGTAGCAGAGCAATGCAGAGTGGGAGCTCCTCCATCCCTTACACTCCCACCACAAGCACTGTGTAGACAACTGATACAAATTCAGCAAGGCAAAGAAATAACAACAGAAAATCTAGGAGCCACATGCTCCTCTCACCCTGTTTTTGGGTCTGCAGCATCTAGAGTTTTCTTATCCTCTTCACCCCCTTCTGAGATTCTTATTCTCTTCACCCCATTACGCTGATTCCCCAGGCTGCCATTCAGCATACTTGTCTTCTGGCTGCCTGTAATCCAATATACTAGGTGAGTCTCATTCATATCATACAGTTTCTCAGGGCTGTGGGCTATGCTGCTTGTTCCCTGCTGGCTGCTGGTCTTCATGCTATGGGGAGTGGCAGGGAGCAGGAGAGGGTGAGCAGGGAGTTTCCTCCCCCTTATTTCCCCTCACTGTGCCACATCAAGATATTGCAAAGTGCATCTATACAGTTATCTCAGGACTGCATCATGGAATCAATGGTTGAAAAGTGGCAGCGCATTCAGCCAATTACTAAACTCTGATTAAAAGGGCAGTGTATGTTTATACAATCCCAGGGATACATGTTGTAGCTGTGTTGGTCTAAGAAACGGAGACAAACAAAACTCTTGTGGTAGAGGCAATACATTTTCACCTGCTGTCTGACATCTGACACCTCCAGGGAAAAAGCCTGCCCAATCTACATATCACAGAGCAACTCTCTCACAAAAAGACTCTGAGCAACCCAAGGGGAAAAAAACTTCTACCCTCTACCTCCTCAGTGAAAAATGAAGTTTATTTTCTACCTGGGAGAACTTTTACAATCTTTGAATTCTCCTCAGCCTGACAAAAGCTGTTTGGACCTGAAAGCTGGCAAAGGAAGAAATTTTTTTGCTACTAATTAGTTGGTCTAATGAACGATGTCGCCTCTACCACAAGAGTGGTGTTTGTATAATCCCAGGGTATTTTGCTTCCGTGGCACAACTTGTCTAAGAACAAATGCAATGTCTGTTCCTAGCCTTAGATACCTAGAAAAGTAGAGCTTGAAAGGGCCTTAATGTAGTGATAGAAATTATAATTTAGAGAAGGTCCCAGGCAGAGGTGACCCGAGCAGGGTGTGGGGCCAGGGGCAAATCAGCCCATGCAGGCCCCACCCCTGCTCTGATGCTGGACACAAAGAAAATGCCACAGCCATTGGCAGTGGCGGGGGGGGAGGGGGCGGGTAGCAAGCAGCTGGAAGTGGAGCCACCGCTCTGCCCGGCTCCAGGCTGCCATTGCTCTGCCTGGCTCTATGGAGCCCCCCAAAGTACGGGGCCTGGGGCGGTCGCCTTGATTTGCCTCCCCTTAGGGACAGCCCTGGTCCCAGCAGACCAAGGAAACTGAGATTTGGAAAATGGTCCCTCAGGGAGCAGCTAGTTATGAATTAGTTGGTGAGAGACAGACAAAGGGTCTGCAGGGTTGCTTACTTTTTCATTATTAAAGTGTGTTGTTCTTCTCATTCACTGTATGTTTACACTTTGGAGGTCATTTAGACCAGTCCCATGCTTAAGGCAGGATCATTCCCATTTAGACAAGTGTTTTTATAACCCACCAAGAGATCCAAGATTTGGAAAAGAGGAGATGTATTTAGGATCAGGCCTTTGGCCCTTAGGGCTGGCAGGGCATAGCAGGTGCTGCTGGCTGCCTGCCTGGCTTGAGAAGAGGGGTTGGGCAGCTCAGCTCAGACTGGTCTCTAAATTTTCTCAGCAGTTACTTTTGGCTGCTTACCTGTCAGGAAAAATGTTCAGACAGCCTGGTCCTAGCAGGATTGGGCCCAGGGCAAGAGTGGTAGAGGAATTCAAGGGATGCAATTGTACCACTACACCCTGGTGGATTTCTGCCTACTCTAATCTATTCTTAAACACATTGGGAACAACCATAGTATACAACTACCAGGCATAACTTCAACGGCAGACTCATTAGTGGAAGGATGGTTATGTAGTTAAAGCCCTGATTTAGGGGTTGGGAAACTTGAGTTTAATTTCTGGGGTTGCCAGAGGCTTCCTGGATAAGTAGCATGCAGCCATGCTGTGTCTGTTGATTAAAGAAAATTCTTCATGTTTTGATCTTCACAGGCTATATGTAAACCTCTTGAAGGAGGAGAGAGGGCCTGTTCTTGCTCTCAGGGATATATGGGAGATGGGATTATATGTTATGGAGATGTACTAAAGGTAAGTAGAAACTCAACATAATTCAAAGGCAAGAAGGCAATTGTAGCAGTAGCTCATGGTAACTTCTACAGATGTGCATATCTGAGGATTTGAATACTCAGTATGCCATCCTGTTTGATAAGTTGTAGTCAGGCACATCTTAGTTTAACACAGCATCCCACACATCTGAAGCCATATATTTGATTGTGATAAGTTTTTTATGAATAAGATAAAAGGGGAAGGGGAAAATGGTTCAACCCCTTCTGTACCGAATTTGAGTAAATACCCTGTTTTGCTGCAGAACATTGTATTTATAGGACACAAAAGGTGATCCATCTTTTATCTTTCTGTTAAACTAGTTCAGTTCCCAGTTCCACTGAGGTATGTAACAAGAAGGCATATTGGACAAAATGATTTAGTGTATGTTATGAGGACCTTATGCAAAGCAAAAAGTCAGATGTCAGTTTTAAAAAAGAAACTGCTTTATTCAAGGGGCAAGTTGCACAGGGAACAGACTATTCTTCTCTCTTACAAGGTGGGGCTAAGAATTCATGGCCTCATAGGTATCCTTGCCCTGCTTTCTGCTCTTGATTGACTGATCTCACCATTCTTATCATAGTCTGCCTGGGTGCTTTCTCCAGACTCAAGGATAGAGTAGCAGTATCTAAGCCAGTGCCATAAGCAAGAGTGGGCAAACAGGACTGCATAGGGGTGGAGGATCCTAGGTACTGCATGAGGGGTGGAGGTGCCAGAATAGACATGGGGTGCTTGTCCACCTGTCCCCCACTCCACCTTCACTTCCCTGTTTCAGCCCCTGCAGCAAGCAGCAATGATACAGGAGCTTATGTCAGTCAGTGCAGAGCAGTCTTGGAATTGTAGGTTTGTAGAGTGTCACTGGAGTTAGCTGCTGGGGTAGAGATGTCACTCCATTTTTTTTGCTGCTGAAACCAGGAGGTTTTTTTGCCCATTTGACCTGGGTATCTATGGCAAGACAACAAGGTGACATTTACCCACAAGAGCAGCAAACTTCGGCTGCTCCTCCTGCCCACTACACATTGTCAGAGCCACCAGAACCAGAAAGCAGAGGAAGAAGGAGGAGGGAGGACTATCCAGGGTACAGTCCTGGCCAGTTATATCTTTGATCTAAGGCAATCTATAATGTAAACTTTTGTCACCGATTTTAATCTGCTTAAGGTACATCTATAGTTCTGTAGTTTGTATATGTCCCTTGTTAATTACAGAAGGGCCCATTCTGGATTTTGGGATCTGACTTGGACATTAAGGAAGCTCCTGTTACAATCTGTACAGAGTAAACACACAGGTTGTTGAGGAACAAGTCCTCTTAAGTCTGAAATTGAAGTAATTGGGCAAATCTTAAATACTAAAAAAGAAAATTAAGTTTGGATCTAGGTGTTGGAATGTACCCTCTAAATTGATGCAGACCCCTTGCAAGTTTGGCATGTGCAGGAGAAAAGCATTCAAATCAGTTAAATTGGCTATGTTTGAAGTAGATTTATATAATATATATGGAGCCCACAGGACCACATTTCCTTCTACCTGCATTCTCCAACCCCTACAAGCTTGTTGCTTGCTGTTATCTCTGTTTTGTTTTGTCTTTTGAAAGGAGCTGGCCAGGAATTCCCACTTTGCAGGCTTCTATGAATGGATTCAGGTAAAAAAACATTGTCTAAAGCATTCATGAGTAGGTTTGGTAAACCATAAACTGCCAAAAAAACCAAACAAACAAACAGAGGCCTGATGTTAAATGAGTCAAATTCCCTTTATGTATTTTATTTTTTTAAATAAAAATAAATAAACCAGAGTATTGTTAATATGTAGATCACAAACCAAAAAAAAAGGTGGCATTAAACCTTTTCACTCCAGAAATGCTTGGACTTTAAAATTACTGAAAATTGAAATGACATTTTAAAGAGTTTCAGTACCATTTTATAGATTGTTCTGTATGGCAATATTGCATTCAACAATGCCTTTGAGCAGCACAAAATACAAGGTCAATAAAGACTATGCATTATCCCCTTATGTTCTCAGCTTGATTTTATTAAATGCATTTGACTGGTGTGTCAAATGGTAAACCATATGCAGCAAGACATACTTCTGGATGTGGAGACAGTGATTGCAGACCCAGGGGCTGAAGTAACATGGTTCGGAGACATTGCTTCTCAGGGGATCGTGTCTACATGTGATTTTAATAAGGCTTAAATTTAATGCGCATTAAATTAATTCACATTAAGCAGGTTTTGGCAGGTGTCTACATGTGGTAGGATTTGGGACTAACTTTAGGGCCAGGTCAGTCCAGATCTGCCATGTGCCCCTATGGCACCATGGGGAGCTCCAGCCTCTGGATACATGGCTGCCAGCACTTGGCAGCCATGCTGAAGCCAGAGCCGGCTGCCAGCACTTGGCAGCCATCTTAAAAGCACGCTCTCCACACTGTGGCCCCTGGGATGATGCTTCTTGTGTCAGAGCAGCAGCATGACAGAGACACCCAGGGACAGACTCCCCCAGTCCTCAAAGGTGCCACAACTGTCCTGCTTACCTGCTGCCATTCTGTGTGCCTGGTGCTCAGCCACTGTGCACCTCCTGACTTCCCCACCCACTCTGGCCACCTGCTGGACAACTGCTGGATATTGCCTGTGGGGCCCCTGCCAACATGCGGGTGCTCCCACCAGCCCTGGTGACCACAGGCTCCAGAACACCCCTGCCAGGACCACTGTTACCCTCCTGTCCCACCAGCTCTGCTGCCGCTGGGCCCAGTGCACCAGCCGGGACTGGTGGTAGCACATTGTGCTGCAGGAATGGGATGACAACCAGTGGGTCAACACATTCTAAATGACATGGGCCACCTTTGAAGATCTGTGCCATCTCTGGCCCCACCTGGAGCACCAGGATATGGAAGTGCGCCCAGCCATCCTGGCCTACACCCGCCTGCCCCGCCACCCACACATCCCCTACCCCAGCCCACCTCTTCAGCACCACTCCAGCACATGTACATGTTCGTAATGAAAAACCTTTATTCCTCTTACAAGCCGCACCCTCATCTCCCGACCTCCCCCCTCAACTGACAGAACCCCCGCACCCTCTCTTCCCAACATGCAGAGCCCCTCTATCACCCTCCCCACCCACCAACAATAAAAAAAACCCTCCTCTCAAACAGAAAACTATGTACAAGTGCCAAAGCCTCTGAGTCCCAGAGTGGGGGGCTGTGGAGTGGGGGTGCACAGGGCACAGAGCCTGGCACCAAGTGGCCAGCATCCTGGACAGTTCTCCCACAAGTCCAGGGGCTGTGGCAGATGTCAGGCTGCTGTGGATGGGAGGCAGCAGAGCCTCCTTCAAGGCTCATGAGGGGGCCTGCTTTGAGGCAGCTGGCCAGTTGCTGCTGGAGCAGCTCCATGTGGTGCTGCCCCAGGGCCTCCAGCCAGGTCCAGTGTGCCCACTATGCCTAATCCTGTGCTTCCTCCCAGGCGGTCTTCTAGGTGATGTGTCCCTCCTACCAGGCAAGCTCCCATGCTTCTTGCGCTGGCTTCCATGCCTCCTCCCACACTGCCCAGTTCACCACCACCAGCAGCCACTGAAGCAGAAGGGTCCAATCCCTGGTGCGATGCTGATGCAGCCAGCAAATCTGGCCAGCTCCAGTGACAGGTGGCAGAACCCTGACATGGCACACCCGCAGGGCACTGCAGCCTCTCCCTGGCATCCAAATGTTGGCTCTGCAGAGGCAAGAGACAGAAGCCTTTTCTGAGAGTTTGAAACATTACAGAGATAAGATGCTCTGCCCCAGGGGCCCTGCACTGCCTGGCCTCAGATTGGGTATCAGCTGTGCTTGGGTGTCGAGGGACCATGATAATTCAGCTGGGCAGACCTGGGCCCAGGCAGCTGCCATTCAAGCCCCCCACCCCCATGTGCTCCCCTGGGGTCGGTGGGCCTCTGGGTGCTGGCTGCAGGAAGCCTGCCTCCCCTGTCTCCTTCCCAGGGTGGGTCAGGCTAGGCTGCTGGCAGCACCTGCTGCCACAGCTCCAGATTTCCTCCCCCTGCAGGCCAACTGCTCTGCCACATGCTGTTCAGCCCACAATACCCAGGTTCAGGGAGTGTGGGGCTTCCAGACACCTGGAGTGAGGAGTTGGCTACACCCCTGTCCTACCCACAGGGGGCCTCTCAGGGAGGCACTCCAGGGCTGGCCCCCTATCATGCCACTGCTGTGCCCCGAGCATGTCCCTGCTACATGTTCCCCAGGCAATGTGCAATGAGCTGTTTGTGCAGGCAGAGGGCTGCCTGAGCCACTATGCTCTGTTGATGATTCTGCTGGTGCCCCAGGCACACCTGCACTCCTGGTTTAGGACCCTGAGCTGCCAGTCTGTGCATGAGCTGGGGAGGTGCAAACGGTGGGGCACTTAAGGCCTGAGGCCCCCTCTTCCAGTTATATATCACTGGAGGGATCGGGATGGGGTATGGGCAAGGCCAGGCCAACCCTTTCTGGTGGCACTCACAGCAATGCAGCCTGTCTCCCAGGGTACCAAAATGCAGGTCTGCTCCTGCATGAAGGTCATGGCCTTATGGTCATGAGTGGACCAATGCTTGAAGTCAGTCACAGCCACGCACTGTTCCCACAAGACCTTGGCCTTCATGCAACACTGCTGTGCCATCCAAGAGTGGCCTCGTGCACTCATTCCAGCCAAAATCATCTCATAAATGTGGGCATTTGAATGCGTGCCCCATGCAAACTGCCTCTGAGTGTTGGCCCCACCCCAGAATACCATGAGGTCACACACCTCCTCACAGGTCCAGCTGGGGCCCAGGAACCTGGGATGGGCATGGGCATGTGGGCAGAGGCACTGGATGGAGAGGATGTGTTCAACATAGTCCCTGCACCAGCTTTTGGGCCCTTGCATGGCTGTCCCTGCAATGCTGGCCCTGGAGGGTTGCCAGCAGCTCCCAGGGGCATGGCCAGGGACAGGGAGCCACATGGCAGAGGTGCTTCACCAGAGTGCCTGCAAGGAGAGAGAGCTGGGGGTGAGGAGCAGCAGGGAGCAGGCCAGGCCAACCCTGCTTCCATAGAGTGTATGGCCAGCAGCCCTGGGATAAATCTCAGGGCTGGGCAAGGGATGCAGCAGTCTGCAACCTTTTGCAACACTCACCTGTGGCCAAGGAGTAGCTCCAACTAGGGGACAGGATGGGCAGAGGCTTCCTGGGTTCTGTCCAGGAAGGCACATGGGGCTTGGTGGGCTGCTGCAGGCGGCTGCCTGTACTGTGGACATAACTCCCTGTGCTGTGTGCCCCAAGGCAAAAAATGGCTAGAGGCTTTTATAACCTGAAGCTAGGGGCTGCCAGAGAGCAGTCCAGGCATGGAGGAGAGGAAGCAGCCAGCCAGGAGCCCTGGGGCTGGGTTGTGGCTGGCCACCCAGACCCAGAATAAAGTCCTTGAGTTAATGTGCATTAATGAGTCTACACGTGCATTAATGTGCTTTAACTAATCCTACTTAAATTTGATACTTTGTTTATGTGGGTATCAAATTTAGGCAGCATTAGCCTAAATTCACCATTTTAAGGCGCATTAAGGACAAGCATATGTAGACACACACCTCTAATGTATCTTAAATTGGGCTAATCTGCATTAAATACCCATGTGTAGACACGCCTAGGCCGGATAAATCTGAAACCACAGCGTACTTATCCTTCATCTTCATTAACTGATGTATCTTCATTACCTGGTAGCATCTGTAAAATTGCCAAATCTGATGTGCATTTGAGAAGCAGATAAGGAAATAATAGGATTAAATTTATAGCTACTATTCTTAAGACTTAACTTACAAACTCAGGTAGCTTTTATCTTTTATTTAATCATATTATGGGCTTCCTGTTTCAATTGGGGTAACTGGGTAAGCACTGCATAGAAAGGAGTTACACAGAAAAGGTTGTCCAAAATATAGGGCCAAATTTAATCCTTCTCAAGCAGACACAATACTTCCCTTTTGTAACATCTTATTTTTATTGGCACTAAATTTGATCTTTAGTTTAAATCTGTCCTCAGAGGTGTGGAGAGGACTTACTGATTCAAGTGTGTGTGCTTCTGATAAATTCTTGGAGTAGTTTTTGAGGAAAAAGACTAGAGAAAATATAAAAATATGAAGAATGTTTTCTTTTAACAACATCTGTTCTGGAGCTTGCTTCTGGAAGTTACAGATTTTCTGGAATTTAGCATTCAGCCAAATAAGAGATGGGTGCTTTGGAGACTCTTCCCATGGCACTTGTTGACTTCCGTCACACCTTACGTCCAGAGCACCACAAGAACATATTTGTATTTATGTGTTATTCCTGCAGAGTAAACGGAAAATATTCTGTAAGATCAGGGATATAGTTCTAGATGTTTCTACTGTTCTGTAGATGCAGCACTGATTTTTTTTTCTTTATTCATCTTCTTGCTTTGGACAACAGAAGTCTGCCTTCAGCATACCAGCAGGAACTAATGTCACTGTTTTGGTACCTTTGGAAGCAGCCATAAAAAACATGAGCAAAGCTGAAAAAGATTTCTGGCTGACATCCTATATGCTGCCGGTTTTAGTCAGGTAAGGTGAGATTTTCACCATGGTTTTTACCTTGAATATAGTAGTAACTGAAGGCTGGAAACTATAGTTCACTCCACATAAGCTCTATGTCAGGAATTCTATAAAACCACCTTGCCATAAAAATAAAATAAAGGTGAAATGTCTAGAAGTGTTTTTTGAATTATTCAAACATAAGAGAGGTTAAAAGATACAGTTAGGGTTTATTATAACTGTGTATTAAAGACATTCCTCTCAGCCATGATATAGGAACAGACCCGCAGGTGGAGAAGAGAGAGGGAATTCTCTCTGCAGTCTGTTTTTTCTCCACAGAAATTCCCAGCTTAACAGAAGATATGGGGAGCATAAATCCTGTAGTTCTCACTTAGGGACAAAACTTTGTCCATAGATTGGACATCTGCAAAAACTACTTCACAGTTAGGGCGGCTAGGATCTGGAACCAACTTCCAAGGGAAGTGGTGCTGGCCCCTACCCTGGGGGTCTTTAAGAAGAGGCTGGATGCCTACCTGGCTGGACTCATTTGAGTCCCGTTTTTGTTTTGGGGTTTTTTTGTTCTCCTGCCCTGGCGGGGGGTCGGGCTAGAAGATCTACTAGGTCCCTTCCGACCCTAAATCTATGAAACTATGAAACTATGAAACTATCTCTGCTAGCAGCTGGAGGAAAGGGCAGAATATGGAACGGAGAAAAGGGATTTAAGGGGAGCAGAAGAGAAGGAGTCAGATATGCACATCATATTGAATAGCAGAGAGCAGAGTGAAGGAATGCAGAAGGAGGAGGGAGCTTGTGGACCAGTGAGGGACGCAGCAAGTGTTGATTCTGGGGTTATGAGGCTGCATACATGCTGGGAACAGTGATATGCAGAGAATACTGCAGTAACAATAGACCCAGAATCGAAAACAACTTAAAGCATGGGAAACTAACCAGCTGAGGAGAGAGAAACCTCCTCAGAACTGCAGGTAAGACATCTCTATTAATGCTCTCATGCAGTAACATTTGTTTGGATTTGCTGTTGGAGCATGTTGCTTGGAAGAACGAGTTACCAGTCTTGTCCATGCATTTCCTTTGAGCCCTGATCAATGTAGGCCAGCAGAACTGGAGCAGAGTAGTCCAGACTCTGTCTTTAACTTGCATGACAACTGGCTTAAGGAAAAATGCAGAGATGACTTTCCCTGAGTTAAGGTTCCATATAAACCTCTCCTTACCACGTGGCAACCACTGGGACGTATGCACATGGACGGATCTAGGATTTTGAAAAAGGAAGTACAAATAGTGTGGTGCATCATCACATATATCAATACATGTCTCCAGTTAAACAGAAACTGGAAGCTTTACTATTATGGAGTCTAGTGCTATAGTATTCAGTTTAAGCTTAAAGAAAAACAAATATAAATTTCTTGAAATGTGTATTAATTTGTTAAATTGTATATACAGTTAAAAACACAACAAACTTGGCAAGAATAACAAACATATTTTTTTCATTAGTCCTGTAGTCATTATAGTTAGACGTATGTCTCTTACTCAGATTTGTAAAACAAAATCTAGCCTTCTTGAGACAGTACCTCCAATACTTCATTGACAGTCATTTCTATACTTGAATTAATATTACCATAACTCAGTTTAAGCTAGAGCTAAAAAGCAGTCTGCAGGGCTGTGAAATAGAAGAGAGATGTTACCAGGAATGGCTAACACAGTAAAATTGCAGAAGAAAAGATAGTTTGAAAAGTGGAACATCAGGGCCATTAAAAAGGATAGAGGGTCATTAACACCTGTGGAGTGCAGCAACATTAGCAGGAATCAGGTAGATTATAATGAGTCTTGTAGTCAAGTGACTCCTTCACAGCTACCTGAATAGAAATGCTGCTGTCACTGCCAGGCAGTTGGTTTTAAACTTTGGATAGAACAAGAATCAAAGAGGGTTGCAACTGTACTGCTGCAGCTCCCCCACCAGATCCGCCCCTGTATATGCATAATCTTCTCACTGCTCTCCACTGTGTGGCTACAGGACTTGTGCAGTTTCATAGCTGATCTTGATCAACTTTTGTGTGTCGCTCATACTGCCATTTTGCCAGTATGCTTCTTCCTGGGGTTTCATACAAAGCCAACATAAATTGGTCATTCTTCAGAGTACTTCATGGGTATTACAGAAGGACCACCCATACCTATAAACAGAAGGTATAGGAAAGTCATTCTGTAGCTGCAGAAGAGCTGCCTTATTGGTATATTCATCTAGTTCAAATACTATGCGTAATTAGTGCCATAGCTGTTTGGATCTGGGGCAGATTTTTGCATCAGTTTTCTTATTTCAGCTGTCATTTAAAGGCACAACGGAAAATGATGTGCAATCCCAACAATCGGGCCTTCTGGCATGCTACATGTGCATGGCAGAAGGTGCAATTGTGGGACTGGGGATTGGATCCCAAACCTGCTATAATGCCAGTGCAGAGGGAGCTTGGAATCATAATGCTGCACCCCTGCACTGGGAAGTAGCAAGCCAGTCAGCTGACTGCTGCTTCCAGTCTCCAGGTTGCACTGGATACCTAGACTCTGATGCATGATAGGGGCTAGAAGCCCCTATCAGCTGCTCCTCCCAGGCTCCTCCCAGACACACTGGAGCCAAGGTTGGGAGCACAGATCAGCTGATTGCCACTTCCAGCCTCAGGGGTGCACCCCTACCTCTAATGTGCCCCAGAGGCTGCAAGCAACAGCTGATTAGTGCTCCTACCCTGAGAAGCACATTGGAGTTAGAGACACAGATACATCCTCAAATCTGGGAACCCTAATCAGCTGATACCTGGCCACATGTTCAATTTAAGGCATGATGGAAACCAGCCACAAAGTTATTACCAGGGATCCAGTTTTTCTGTTACCCATGGAAAAAGATCATTGGACACAGGTCACAAAATCATTGGACGCAGATGTCGTGGTGGATGTAGTCTATCTGGACTTCAGAAAGGCCTTTGACACTGTCTCCCACCCCATTCTCGAAGTTCAGTCCTTGGGCCTGCACTGTTTAATCTCTTTATTACTGACTTGGATGAGGGGGTGAAAAGCACCCTGTTCAAATTCACTGACAACACCAAGATCTGGGGTGAGGTGGGTACACTAGAAGGGAGGGACAAGATACAGCTGGACCTGGACAGGTTACAGGGGTGGGTGAATGATAATAGGATGGGATTCAATACTAACAAGTGCAGGGTACTGCACTTGGGCAGCAAGAACCAGCAGCATACCTATAGGCTGGGGAGCTCCCTTCTTGAAAACACAGTGGCAGAAAGGGATCTTGGAGTCATTTTCGATTCCAAAATGAACATGGGCCGGC